AGATAAAAAGCTCTCGCTATTAATCCATTTCGTATCATATGAAACGTAAGTTTATTGTGAAAGAGCGAATCACGTTGAGATCACGGCAGTTACCTTCGACGAGATTAAGGGCTCGTCGTCATTCTACTTGATGTAGGACGACCGCTATACTTGGCAACAATTGCTATAGCATATTGGATCGATGCTAACGTGAATTATGGCTCTTATCGTTGATTATCTTCCTTCTATGTCGGCCGACCCGTTGAGCAGGAATGGGTTAAGAGCAATTGACTTTCAGACACTTGGCTTTGAAATCTGAGCTCTGTCATGCCGTTTGGCGTTTCCAGAAGATTTGTGCGAGAACAAACGGCGAGCCAAATGCGGATAAGAATACGATATTGAGAGACGATTTAAACAAAAACAATTTTTAACCCTTGTTTGCCACATTTCCTGAGGATCACGTATTGGTCACACAGGGGTCCAATTAACCCCGACTTTTAAACGGTGCCGTGTTTACACCATTCGTTCAGTTTGAATACAAGAGTTACAGATTAAATTTGAAAGCTTATACAAGGGGAAGTAGACTTTTTATGAAAATCTTAATTTTAACATAATTTGAGTCAAGGTTAATTTTTACCTTAGAACTTGCAGATATAAAACCTTAAACTTACGCTGGGGTCTTTTGGACCAACAAGGCTAAAGCCAATCAGGATTTAGTTTTAAGTCACCTGATCTAAACCTCTACATCTTTATTGGTTCTCGTGAGCAATCCAGTAGAAAAAAATAGCATCGTACGCCGCTGGCTTTAAATAACTCTACGTCTTTCCAATTATCTACAAATAAAAATAACGCTAATTAAGTGTGTTTTAAGACTAGTATGTAACTGGCGCACAGGATAAGTTGGAAAGAATACGGTATATGAATTCACTCAAATAATTTAATTTAACTGGCTACTTACACCTATGCCCGGTCCTAAACGGCCTCTCTAATTTCTAATTTCTAATTGATTTTATATCTTAAAGGACCTATGTTAAAATTGTAGTATTATTATATGTTTTATTCTTCTCCAAACTATACGATGTATTTCTCAGCTCTCACATATTTCAGTGCGTCAATAATTTTATCTCGCTACAATTGAAAGTTTCACTGTTTTACAGCAATAAAAAAGACACTATTAAATCCTCTATTAATTCATGCGTTATTTCTGGATAGTCAGAGTTAGGTTATCTCGCACACCGGTGATGTACTAACATTATTAATAATAATTTCAAGGTTAACGAACGCAAGCGATCGCGAGATATTTCTGGTTATGTAAAAATACATTATATCTTTGAAATCTTAGATCTAGAATAAAGCGCAGAATAGGACTCGTCGAGTGTCAACTTGAGTCACGTATCTTCGCGCGCACAACGTTACGCGAGAAAAAAATCTGTTTGCATAACTTAGAATTAGATTTAGCCAGAAAGATACAAATCAGATATTTACAATTAAATCTATCAAATTTTCTAGCTACAAAATATCGGGATAACCGAAAATTCTATCACGTTAGCTGGAAATTCTGTTTGGTGCGATTAAAATGCATTTTTGTACAGAGAAAAGTACTCTATTATGAGATAGGATTCTGATATGAGATAGTAGGTTTTCAACGTCGAAATTCAATTACAAATCTTTCTTTGCAACGATTACACGATCTAAAAGTCAATTTTCCACTAAACAGATTTCACCCTAAGGGCAATAAATTTATGGCGGAATCAACAGATGATGTCTATTAATTTAGCAAGAAACTCTGTTATCTCATATTAGGGGCCTATCCCATAATAGAGGACTTTCCTCCACGACTTGTTGGTGCAACGAAACATTTTTCTCAATGTAGAAATCAGCTGATTTATATCAACCGCTTTGCTACGATACACCTTTCAAATATCACGAGAAACTCGGTGAACTTCGAACTTTTCGCAGAAATATATTTCTAATAAGAAAATTCACACTTTGAAGTGGCATTTGTGCGACCGAGGTGCCCTGTCACGGATCTATCTGAAAAAAATTGCATATGAATATTTTATTATATTTACATTGTTCTTTACTTCGTTGTGTCGTACGACGTGACATTTGAAACTGTAGTTTTTCAGCACCGTGATTTGTCAGAACGATCCGTTTCCCACGGGTTTTGTTCGTTCCACGTATTTTCGTCAGCACGTCGTACGGCAAGTCGATTTCGTATTTTCCGCAATAACGCGAAAATACGAACGGAATATCCATTGGCAACTTGTGAATCGAAAACTCGGAATTTCGATCGTAAATAATTAACATGATAAACAGTTCTGGGCAGTTCCGCTCTTATGAAATTTGAAGTAACGGCACTCCTGCGACGTTATATCTTTCAGAGAAGTATTTAACTTGAACCTCAGATCGCGGCTCAATAATTATAGCCATCGAGTTATTGATCTTTCGAGTATTGATCTGATTAGTCCTAATTTACATTTGGATATTTCTGTCCAGGGCATGCTTCGACTTTTTTTTTTATTAAAGTGGAGCGTCTATTATTCGGAGGTATCTGGAAAATTTGAAATTCTCGAGAAATTTATAGGTATAAAAAAAATTGTTTTCGGAGATTTTACTTTTACTTTGCAAGCACCAAATTTTTTATATTGAAGTGTTTTCTTTGACATGTTCGAGTTTTAATTTTGTTTAGGTTTTTAGAGGGTCTGTCTTCCATTTGTTGTCATTCAGATTTGCTAGAAACCTATATTTCAATTCTTTGGCCTATTTCATTTCTTGTTTTATACTTTTATAAAACTTTTCCCACTTTTTCTCTTTTTCTCTTTTTAAGTTTGATATTCGAAGCGAGCAGCTCTTAATTTTTTCTATGATCGTACGAATGGAAAAGATTATAAGGAATTTATTTTAATTAATTTGTGTAAAAAAAATTCGAATTTTACTTAAAAGAATCAGGAAACTTGGTGGAAAAATTTATTCTAAGATTTAAGCAAATGTCCTGTAAAATTACAAATTTAATTAATCGCGCGCGAAATTACCTTATGATTCAAAGGTTTCGATAAACGGAAATATATTCAAATATAATTGATAATAAAGTAGAAAAGAATAAACTTAATTCCTGATCAATTTCCAATAAATTTTATTCAACAAACACAAGGTTTAGTTATCCTTTTATGTGCTGTTTGCTAAAACCCCTGATTAGTTTTCGTAAACAATTCAGTAGAAAAAATAGTATCGTGTACCTTTAATCGTTGGCTGTAATCTTAAGGTAGTCTTTGCATATATCAAAGCGAAGTCATGAATAATTTCGAAACAAAATGCTCGTTCGATTTGATGGAACGTTCCGTTATCGAATCATGAATGAGATATTTTTAACGCGCAATGCACAAGCGTTTATAATATCTCCGTAATTAGATTTGGAATCAATTGCGGGAATAAAATAGATACATATATGTAAAGCTTCTTTAAATGTGCCGTTCGACAAACTGTGTCCAGCATAAGTGATAAAAAGCGATCGTTGAAAAATCTGATGCTCATGGCCGTGTAATTGAAATTCGATAACACAGTTATGTAAGAAGGTCAACGACCAAAGTACGAGCAGATTTAGTATGCCGGTTTAAAATAACACATTTAACGCAATTGATTATACAAATAAATTCAAATAACGCATACTGGCACGGTTATGTCGATTTTTATCAATGTAGGCAATCTCGGTTTAACGAGGGTGTCTATAAATTTGAATTAATTTTTATCATTTTTATTTGAGCAACCGCCCTCCTTAACTCACTTTCATCTTTTCCCAGTTTTGAGAAGATTAAGGTTACTCAAAATGGATAGAAATGGATATTAGTGATATAATAATGATAAATATCGAAAACATACCTAGTCGTTCGCACACTTGTTTTTCTACCAAATGTCTCGTTCTCGCAATCTCTTCCAATTTTCTTCGTATTACTTACTCGTGTTGAAACAATTGAGGGAGAAATTATCGATATGAATATTATGAATCATTCTTATCTCAGATAAATGACTTATACTAATTTGTATAACAATGTCTTTTAGCATAACATACTTTTTATAATTAATGCCAAAAAGTAATAGATCAATAAATAATAAATATCTAATTTTTCTTAAATAAATTAAAATACCTTTTCATTCTTGACTACAAGCTTTCTTGTTGGGCGCTTTGATTTTATAATGGAACGACATTTTTACACCTTTTCACTGATTGACTCAAAAAACTTATTTTATCTTCATTTACTTACTACATTTTATACTATGTTATTAAGCAACTTTTGGTAGTAGATTTCACACTTTCTGTTGTTGTTTTTCTATTGTATTAATTTGTCGAAACGTCCACATTAATGTGTTTATTTTATTTTATTGAATGAGCGTCATATCCTAAAATCTTGTTTTTACTTATAAATTGAGTGTAATTTATTTAAAATACCTTTATTTAAATTACATATACATGGGTATTTAAGTTACATAAGCGAGAACATTGGCACAGAGTGCCAATAACAATTCAGGGTGTCCATTACCGAGAAAAACCTGGAAAACCCTGGAAACTCCCTGAAATTCTCAGGGAATTCTTCTGGAAAATCAGTGAATATCGGGGAATTTTTGTTGAAATTGTCTCTTTATTTTGTATTTCATGAGCAATAAAACATTAGCTGAACAACTAAGTTAGTAACAAAGTGACAAAAAACTTATATGTGTTTGAGGAGCGGTAACTCTTTTTTGCTCCAAGCATCGTTTTATCTTTAAATTTCATCTTGTATTCCTTTGAATTACGAAACTAAAATTTAAAATGATATAAAATGTCTGCTTTGTACAGAGAATTTTCGGGGAAGTTTTTCTCGAGAAATAAATCGACACCCGGCAATTGCGATTCTCTCGATAAAGGAGAACCTGTCTAAAAACTTTTGGAATACACGAACCTGAAACGATTGTCGCGTAGCGTAAGCAGGAGATATCACGCTATCGCTACCGCATACCGATAATGGGTTTTCCTTTATTTCCAGGTAAGTAAAGAGGAGCTCGCAAAATTAGTGCAGAGTTTCGAAGAGCAGGACATCCTGACGTCGTCGGGGGTTACCTTAGCCGGCAATAGGTACATCTACCTGTCGGGCACGGATCGTGTGATAAGGGCGAAACTCGGCAAAGTCGGCGTCCACTGCATGAAGACGACGCAAGCCGTAGTTGTCTCTCTGTACGAGGATCCTATACAACCACAGCAAGCCGCATCTGTCGTTGAAAAACTGGGCGAATACCTCGTGTCCTGCGGCTATTAGGTCAGTATGACGACAATTTTTACTTTAAAGCGATCGCGTTGCGGCTATGAAGAGTCGAGGATTTTATTATGATAATCCCCTCCCCCCGAGTCGGGGGTGGGGGAGATACTCACAGGGAGAGAAATACCCCATTAGTTAAAAAAATTCTGTGCTGCGGGTCTGGAGAGATATTTATTTAGCATTTTTTACGTGCAAGAAAATTCTCCTTCGTGAAGCCGGCGAAGAAATAAACCGTGCAAATCCGCGAATCGGTATTTTTTTACCGCAAACGAAAACCTTGCCCTCTTTGGAGATAAAGATCAAATTTAATTAACTCCGCGAATACATGAGACAATCTTCGGGAGCAAAATTGTAGAGAGTAATACATAATGTGGACAACTAACAAATACCACGAGTAGTGGTGAATTAATAATTTTTCGGAATAGTGTGCAAAGTTCTAATCGGTAAGAGTTATTTTTTATAAACTCTCTCATTCCCGGTTACTCGACTACAAGTCCACAATATTCAAGATTGGAGCAACTAAAATTTTATGAAACTTTTAAGGGAGATTAAGGCCCGGTTGCACCGACGTCGCGTAACTTTAACCTTAGCTTTACTTCCTCTTGGATCCGGTTTTTCATTTTCTGGTTAACTGTTAACCAGAAGTTAGTTGACTCTCCATCTTTTTTTTGTTATTATCTGAGAAGAGACAGAGAGTCGACTAACCTCTGGTCAACAGTTAACCAGAAAATGAAAAACCGGGCCTCAGAGAAACATAAAGAGAAGAATGAATTAAGTTAAAGTGAAAGTTACGTGAGACATTGGTGTAAATTGTTTCGTTGAACTGAAAAACGTTGAGAAAGGGGGACAGATTTCAAATAAAGACTCGTTAATTACCAACGTTGTTCCCGTAGAATAAATAGACAATTGAAATATCGATATCGAACTGTATGTATCTTACTTTAATTGTTATCGTTTAGTATAGGAGTACGACGACGACGATGACGTTTCTTAAATGAAAAATCGGAAATCCTATGTTTGCGTCGCAATATCTCCACTCATGGGGCATGTAGAAGAAAAATAAAAACACTTTTATCATGTAAATCGAACCCAAGCTATCGATTGAACCTATTTACAAGTTCATCGGATCAGCCGTTGTTGAGATCTGAAAATTTGAGGGCCTGTCAACTCGGGAGAGGCTCAATTGCGCACAGTACAATTGGACACGATGCAATTGCACACAGTGCTATTGGGCACATAATGTTGCGCACAGTTCTTTTGCGCACCGTTCATTTGGACACAGTTCTTGTGCGCACCGTACAATTGGACACCGTTGCTTTTGGACACAGGTTATCGAAATATAATTTAAAACACACAGACACACGCGTATGCATGTAGAGCCCTGTTTGGAAATTTTGCTAATTTATAAATAATAAATCTTTCTAAATCAGCGTTTGTTCAATTGGACAGTTCTTTTACGCACAGTTCAGTGTCGCACAGTTCAGTGTCGCTCAGTTCAGTGTCGCACAGTTCAGTGTCGCACAGTTCAGTGTCGCACAGTT